AATGCATAATTTTGGAAAAATGAAGAGTAATTAAGGAATAAGCATGTGCTCAAGTTGATTACGTAACAGATTGTTAAAGAAAATAAAACGATTTGGACAGTGATAATTTTTTAAGGTTTAGGGGGAGGGGGGCGAATTAGTCCAGTTTATACATTCATGTTATGATGACCAAGGTAAGAAAAGTGGCTGTACAAACGTCTTCTCAACACACAGGTTTGCCTTCTTCAGGTGGATTCCTATTGCTTCAGCTGTATGTAGAAGACGAACTCGTAAAGCAAAATTTAGATTACTAGGAATGCGACAAATAATTTTAAATGCTGTATTAACGTCAACGTGTAAAGACAGAAGACAAGAGCCAGGCAACAGATCGTTTATTGAGGAAATCAACAGACATTTATAGATTTTTATGTACATTATTATCCGTTATTATTAGCAGAGAAACAGCGTCATCTGATTGGTTGTTTTCTCGCTGAAAGTTAATCTGTCATCTCTTTGTGGCCGTTTTTTGAAGGTCAGACCATATATCATCGAATCGTATGCTCCCACACAAAGTCTTTGTTCTTGTTTTTCTCATGACCAAGATTTGGGACGTAAACATTGACGTAAATTGCTGTCTACCAATTTTGGCTTGCAGACAGACACCACAACCTTATGCACACTATCTACAAGGTGGGCTAAAAGAGAGCTACGGATAGATCTTGTTTGTCCCTTGCTTAACCACGCTGCAGGATGACGTTTGGAAGTACGATGATGAACCTGCCTAATTGTACGCCTGTGTGTAGCTAGCTCTACACGAGTAGTCAGTCTGATAGAAACAGGGAGGAAGCGAAGTTAGGTAGTTTATCCTTATTTGTCAAATGTAAAATGGGAGTGGTTGTTAAGAGACAGCCCAGCTCTGCTGCATTGAATGGTCTTTTAACTCCATTCTTCAGATATCGTGTTAATATTTTGCTGATGTTATCATTATTATTATTATGACCGATTGCACTGTCTTATTATCCCATCGAAACTTCACCGTGATTTGTCTTTAATTCATAAGTTAGGTATATTGGAGTAGAGTCTGTTGGAATCTAACTGAAAACATGTACTATTCTCGCTTTTCATTTTGGAGAGGAGATACCTGATTATATTACAGACTGTGTTAACTAGCAATTCAACTGACTAAAGTCTACTTCTGAGATATTACTACAACGTTGTACACTGAACTTACTTATATCGACGGTTCCTCAAAAGGAAACAAAGTATATTTATTTAATTGAATTTTAGATTTTCCCGTCGATCGATCAGGCCGAAGTGCTCGGTCTCAGGTTGACACGTCGGCTTCTTGTGCAGATGCTTCGATGATGTCTGGGCATGTACTTAGAGGTTAATTTGGTGGGTGGTGGTTAGCAATGGAATGCAGGTCTCGCATTTTGTCCAATTTGGGACTCGTCATCTGGACGTACCTGCATTCCGCAGTGAGTGATGATGTTCTCACGCTTCGGCGTTTGAAACTATGGACACTGGGTTCGAGCGTTGGTGGGAATGTCATCACTCACTGAGGAACGCAGGTACATCCAACTGACGAGTCCCAAGTAGGACAAAGTGCGCGTCCTGAATTCTACTGCTAGCCGCCATCCACCAAATTAAAGTAGATTTCTCCTATAGAATTTAAGAGAAGCAAGGAAAATCCCTTGTGATTTTCAAGAAGCACTGTCAATACAGAAGTTTCAGATATAATCATGATATCGTATACATCCTCTAATGGACTAAGCGTTTTGTACCTATTTATGCACCAATCCGATACAAAGTCAGTTTGGACAGATGCCTCACGAAAAGGGCAGGTGGGATCTGTACCTATAACGCCCTAGAAAGTGAATTAGGATACATCCAAAATACTCTGGTCAAAATATGTTTCCCCAGTAGATTTGTAAGGAGACACATGAATGCTGTGTATAAGAAAGAGAAACCGACAACTGTTGAAAAGAAAGAATTGTTCCTGAAGCTGCAGGTCAATGGGGACGTAGACAGTGAAGTCCTACATCTAAGATTATCCAGAGCCATAAAACGGACCTATACTGATACTACTCTTTGTTTTTTATTTCCCAACTGACCAGTTATGATTCGTTAGGCAGAATTCTATGCCATCTTTTACACTGAGTCGAAAATATAGGGATTCAAGAGAACAGTCCTGGTCTTTGTTCACAAAAGAAGTTTGTTTCACCTTTGTCTCTCCCTTAGCCTAGGTGAATTCTGATTAAAAATTCCCACCATTTCTTATTTTTCATTTCCTTCACAGTTTTATGACATTTATTTAAACTCTGATTAACTATCCACTTCACGTAACTTTTAAGATTTGACCTAATTTATTTGTTCACTTGTCTACATATACACATATTACTACCCTCGTTATTCTTCTTATCGCCACCTGCATAAACCTCTTGTACTTTTGTTATCGCCGAAAGTATTGCGGTTTTTTTTGCTACTACTATTGTGGTGAGAGCTGTCTGCTAGCCAAAATTAGTATACAGCAATTGACGTCAACGTTTACGTCCCAAATCTTGGTCATGAGAAAAAACAAAGGTCAAAGACTAACTCAACAACTAATCACAGTAGACTTAGCGTGGGCGGATACGATTAGCAGATATATCAATGGACACTGAGAAACTTCAACAAAGAAATGACAGAATAACCTTCAGCAGGAAAACCACCACTCAGAAGACGTTACCTCTCTGCTTACAATAACGAATAGTAATGTACATAAAAATCTATAAATATCTGTAGATTTTCTCAATAAATGATCTGTTGCCTGGCCTTTGTCTTCTGTAGTTACACTATAATCATTGTTATAACCGACATTCAAAACACTTAACACTTATTATTTCTGATCCACAAACTGCAGCACTGGGTGATGCGGGTTCGAATCTCCGAAGGGACATGAGTTCCTTCAAGGTTGCGGATACGCCTTGTTGACTGATGAGTGCCAGCTAGCACGAAACCTGGGTCCAAGGCTTCCTAACGATTGCCTCCAACCATCTACCATCAACGGTCCATAAACTCACCGTCATTGTTTGAAAAATGCTATATATAAGGCTGTGTAAATTACAGTATAGCTTGAAGAAGATCTAAGTTAAAAACAACATTGTCCACTTATGTGTCTTGATTTAATCTTGACAATGGGAATTTTTAATGATATTAAATAGCGCCCATATATAAACTGCAACTACGCTTATAAAACTCGCTTATGTACTCATATACTACGCTTACAAAAACTAATTTTATATATGCTTGTCGAATATTTACCATTGTATTATTGAACATTGGTTTTTGTTTGTTACAATATACATATTTTGCGTGGTTATACACTTTCGCGTTCGTCTCGTGCTCTTCGAAATTTGATTTCGTTTCACTTGTGCTTCTAAATGCAGCGGTGTTCGTCTTCCACTCTGTATAGCAACTGGCACATTGTAGAACGTGTTTATACGTAAATTATAATCCGAATCATATTTAGTACCTCATAATTAGAATATCTGAAATTGTATATTTCGCGCGACCTGGTAATTTGTTGAAAAACTCACGAGCTTATCGATTTACTATGTGTGTTTTGATTTGGATCAAACACTGAATGTAACACAATTGGTGTATCTAGCAGTTTACATCTTTAGCTACGAAATGTATCACGCTATCATCAGATAATTTTGTTTGTTAAGGTAGTTAGTCGGCTGACAGCATCAAATTTATTATTTGGATTGTTCTCAATATATACATGTATCAGATTGTGTCTTAATTCTGTTCCACCTATATATCCTGTTTTCCAATGACTTTACAACATATTCTTTTTGATGTGGTTGTGTTCTCTGAGCTGGTTGGTTTATTCACGAAGCTTTCATTGCCCTACCAGGCGACATCCTCACCCGAGCGCATACTTCAAATTGAAGTGAGCTTTTAGATTTCGACACGAGTCTATCAGTCATCTCTCGTGGTGACCTTGAGCGTGAGTGGTTGCTTTGGATGTTTTCACACCCTCTAGGCTACTGGTATTGGTGTTGACTGTTTACTTGACTTGAAGTTTGACCCTGTGTGTGTTAGGGAGATTTCCTTCCCATCGTTTGGTAAATTTTGTCGATGTCAATGTTTCTATTCACTGACTATTCACTGGAATACCAGACTTCCAAAAATTCTTTAGCATTCTTGGTGTTTCCTGTCTCATATTTTAATGTTGTCCCAGTCGAATTGATGTCCGTAGTTGTCTGTATGTAGTGATATGAGGGAGTGGATGTCATGTCTTTTGATTGCTAGTTTATGTTCATGGATACGTATTCAAAATCTAAAGGCTCAATTCAAATTGAAGTATGCACTGAAGATGTTGCCTTGTAGCGGGCAATGAAAACACTGCAAATAAACCATCCAGCTCAGAGAACACAACTACATCGAAATCATTTCCCTGAGCTACAAATCTTCTACATCATATCAACATATGTTGTACACTTAGCTAGGGAAGATGTCTAAATGGAGCTTTTCATTTCTAGAAGTAGATCAGTAATTTCAAAATTTAATTCATTTTCGCGCCAAAATATTGAAGGGAAATATGAAGTGATAAAACAAAAGTTTCAAAACTCGCAGGGATTTATTAAACTGTCAATACAAGTATGAAACAAGCATGTCTATTCATATATTTAAACACAAAAATATGAATAATTCCATTACTTAGAATAGGTGAATTAATTAAATTTCACATCATCGTCTTGGATGGATCATTTGTTTGATTATTTTTGTATAAATCACAACTGTGAATTTATTTATCCTATATTGAGAATTCAATGACATAGAAATCGCCAGAAAAGATATTATAGACTGTGTTTTAAAAACCCAGTAACTGATGTATACCATTGACAAGATAACTGTTTCGAGTATGGCTATATGAAAATGGTGAAATCCAATTCTTCTTGAAGTATTTCTGAAAAAATTCGCCTTCATCGACTCCTTTATTTTATATGGTACTGATCAGAGGTGAGCATTATTCAATCGTCGAAAATTTGTGATGCATTTGACCTCTGAGTTTGGTTGACTCCTTTAAAAAAAAATAGACAATCAAATGAATTAGTATGTGACTGAAACACTTCGAATTTGAAAGCTAGTTCACACTTGATATGCATGCTCACTTTTATAAAAAGTCTTTTTTGTCCTATCCTTTCATTTGTGTTCACCTTCATATTACTCACAACCAGTAGTAAATAGTATAAGCACATTTGTTACTTCTTAACCATGTATTAATGCCTTATTCGATGTATTGTCATAGATTAATTTGATAACAATAAAGCAAGAACAAAGGATTTCGCAGAATAATATGGAAGCATCATTTATTTCCCTGGCTTCAAATCAACTCACTCTTACAGTCTAAATAAATTATCATAAAGTTCATCCACAGAAAAGTTTTAATCCACTGCAAAATTTCACTTCATGTCAGATGACACGAAGTTCCAGGCTCAGGAACAGTGCTCAGAAGATTACGCTTATATAGTTCTTACTAGAGCACCTCAAGCTTAAACAAAGTAAATGCATCCATACAATGGTAGAGGAGTTACGCAATAAACACGAGAGGTACGTAAGATGATGAGTGACTAATAAGTTGAGTGACAATTGCCTACTGACTTCAACTCAAATCATAGAGAGAAGAGACAAGCGAGATTACACTATATCAACGGGTGGGTAGTGGGGTTGAGGTTAAAGCCAAAGATTACGTGATCAGATGAAGTAGAGAATAATAAAGACATCCAGTTACCAGGATGGGCAAAGAGACACTGATAACTGCTTCTTCTGTCTGAACACATAAGTTTGGTTTCAGGCGTTTGATAGAGATTGCTTTGGCGAAATTGAGCTTTTCTGTCTATTGATAATTTTAAGGGATTTCACGAGTTCCACCTCAGGTTTGATGTCGACGACTGCCAGAAAGACACGACAGATACGGCTGAAAAACGCATCACAAACTTACTGAGGGATCGTCTAAAGAAGAAATTGACTGACAACAATGCTTGCAATGATTTGAAACACCAAGTGTCTCATTCGCCACACATTCATGGCCTCCCAAAGACACACAAAAAATCAAGTCCCTCTGAGACTTAAACTGTCAGTGATCGAATTGGTTTGAAGAGAAGTTGGGAGCCATTCGTCAACGTCTAGCTTTGTACACGATGAATGAATCATTTCATTTTGCTGAACGTGAACGTTTCAAATTAGTTCGTGACGCCATGAACTCATTTGTCTTACTGGAAGTCATCAACTTTGAACCTTAGCGGGTCATTTAATACAGTTTACATTTTCGCAATGTAGTCATCTTAGTGCATCAACACCATCTCTGAGCCTTTGTCAGGTCTCAGTATGACGATTTTGTCATTAAGAGCTATGAATGCTCTTTTATGCCTCTCAGAAGAGCATCTCAAACAAACTACAAACCTTCATTAACAGTTGTCTTCGCTCAATACTCAAGATCAGATGGTCGGCCAGAAAAGATCAGCAACTGGGATCTCTGGGAGCGAACCAACCAGGAACCGATTGTGAAACAAATAGGCAGGAAGAAATGGAGATGGATTGGCTGGTCATACTCTGAGGAAACCATCAAGTGACATCACTAGACAAGCCATTGCTCGAGTGGAACCTGAAAGGGAAGCGGCGAGTTGGTCGTTAGTGCGAGGTTGACTTGGAGGAGGTCATGTGAAGAGGAGATGAAAACATGTGGGCAGACTTGGAGCCAGGTGAAGACTCTAGCAGAGAACCGAAAGCAATGGAGACGCACGGCTGAAGCCCTATGTTCCTCTAGGAATTAAAGGAAACAATAAAAATAATAAGAAGGGCTTTTGGAATATGACGTTGGTGAAATGAGGTCCTGGTTTGCAACATTGACCAGCTCAGATTTGAAGCAGCGGGAGCAGTTATATTGAGAGGACACAAAGAAGAACACACCTCCGATTTTTTGAAGTACTGAAAAGCCTATGTCTTAAGGGAAAAACACTCACAATAGTGCCATTACAAGACATCTCCTTCATACATGAGGTCATGAGGTGGAACTCGTGAAATCCCTTAAAATTATCAATAGACAGAAAAGCTCAATTTCGCCAAAGCAATCTCTATCAAACGCCTGAAACCAAACTTATGTGTTCAGACAGAAGAAGCAGTTATCAGTGTCTCTTTGCCCATCCTGGTAACTGGATGTCTTTATTATTCTCTACTTCATCTGATCACGTAATCTTTGGCTTTAACCTCAACCCCACTACCCACCCGTTGATATAGTGTAATCTCGCTTGTCTCTTCTCTCTATGATTTGAGTTGAAGTCAGTAGGCAATTGTCACTCAACTTATTAGTCACTCATCATCTTACGTACCTCTCGTGTTTATTGCGTAACTCCTCTACCATTGTATGGATGCATTTACTTTGTTTAAGCTTGAGGTGCTCTAGTAAGAACTATATAAGCGTAATCTTCTGAGCACTGTTTGCTCGCGGTCGCGCTGTCGTGAATTGGTAGAAGTTAGAATTCATGAGCCATTGGATCGCGTCCCAGTGGCTTCACTAAGTCTGGAACTTCCTGACAATTGACATCATATAAAATTTGCAAGTATGTTCTGCACAAATTGTTGTTCTTACTTTATTGAAATTTATAAATGAGAATGAATGTATGAAATTTTTCTAATGGTTAAACGTCTCATGGTGTATATGTCTTAATTTTATACACTTTACCGTTGACCATAGTGTCTTCGTATCTCTTTATTCGGTGTCTGTCATTCGCGTCCTATTTACATCTTCACGTAGATTGCCTTTGACGCAGCTTCGGTGTTTCTAGTATTGACGTGTGTTGACGGCATTCAGCCACGCACAGCCCACAATGCGAGGTTTGTATATTATATTTCATTATTTTGTGTTTTATATAGCATCGTATTCTAGATAAATCCTGTGTTTTTGGAATTTACGCATCACTTTACTTGTGCTTCAACTAATAGCTTGGATTATCGCTCCGAATTTCTTACGAGAAATTTACATTTTAAATACCATAAGGATATCATTGAAACTCAAGACTAATCAAATGCAGGATGCGACACTGACCGATTTCAGAGACTTAGGGAATTAAGCTGCTCTTGAGAAACACTCTCGTGGATTTCGAATATCCGAACATGATATAGTCTTCATAGGTGAAAACTTTGGCGTAATGTAGAGCCTACTGGACGTCTCGTGCAGAAATCTTGGTGTAGCGAAAATTCCCGTCTCTATGCATTTAGAAAACAAAATTAATTGACTCAGGAATGCTTTATCCTCTATCAATAAGATCCGCCCGCGTCAGTTGCCTTACCTGAACCCATGAGAATTTATGTTCGCGGAAGCTCAACCTTGCTTCATTTACTAACTGATCCTTATCCCGGAAGAGATGTGATGATGTGACATGATATTAGCAACAACAAAAGTAACACCACTGCCGAAACTCACAGCACACAGAAAAATTAACTTACTATTTACTGTGAAACATAAGACTCAACAATTCCAGGATGGAGTGAAAGCTTTTGCGAAGTCAGTCAATCGATGTGCCTCCCTTCAACAGAAGTAAAAGTAAGCGTGAGGACCTGAAGCTTGCGAAGCTGTTTCGATCGCAGAAGATATGATGCAGAAGTATTGAGAATCTATGTATGCAGACAGACTGGAAGTAGACTCTCCTAATAGTTGACTGGATAGTCAACCTAAACTACTTCCCTGGAAAGAGCTTGTATATATTTAACTCCATTTCTACTACAAAACAGAACTGATGAGGATAACCAATCAACCGAAAACAGCAGAAGCCAATCGCTATAAATGGAAGAAACCTGAAAGTCGTCACTTCCTTCAATTATCTAGGAACCATCGTTTCACTTACACGTAGCATGCATGAGGATGTCAAAAGCAGAATCAGAAAGGTAGGACTGACCATTCATCACTTTGAAGATCTGGGAAACAAACAGTCAAACAAACCTGTTACTCGAAAAATACACCGAAAAGTGAAGCTATATCGGACATACTGTGAGAAGACGATTGGATGACATCTTGCGTCAGACCTTTGGGTGGAACCTCAATGGGAAATAACGAGATTGGCGTCTGAGGGTGACATGGAGGAGGTGAAAGTCTATGGAATGTGGTAGATCAAGTTTAGGACAACTGAATAGGACAGAATAAATTGAAGGTGTGCTTTTAAAGCGCACCACTCGGAACCCAAGCGAATAATAGTTGATACTCTTCGATGCAACTGTCTGTCTATCGCGCTATATACCAAGAACACAAGTTAGAACTGATGGACAATTGGATTATGAAGACGCCATTTAACCTGATTGTCGTGGATTCGACCGTGGAAAGTGTGATGGGCGCGTACTGCTGAGAAATCGCAAGCAACAACGAAGCAACCATCCAGTACCTCCTGGTTCCCAATGCTTCTCTAAATGATGTCAGTTCGCAATCACATTTGAATTAACCAGGTGGATTTTCGTAGTTCAGATACGAACATACCTCAATGTACAGTTGTTGTACAGTGTTTTTTAAATTTTCATTCACAACTATGGAACTTACCTGTTCTCTTGACTGACACAAAGATATGTGTAAAATAATACTCATTGGATATATTGATCACTTTGTACTTCAAACTATTTAATCCATCTTTCTTTATTCGAGTTTTAGCATTATCTAAAAGTTTTCGGTTGTATTTAATACGATCACGAGACTGAATAGTGTGTGGAACTGACATGTATCTAGCAATCGAAGGCTTAAAATGTATATAATTAATATTTGTAGATCTCAAGCGTATTTCAAAATCATCATCTTCTGAACCCCAACCCCAATAATAATTTGAAAATCCATTAGCTCTGATAAAGTGTTCATTGGAAATTTTCAGTACCCCGCCAATATACCGTGGGTAGATGAGTGTAAAATTTTCTATACTTCTGCCAACACTTAAATGTACTGCCATTTTTTTCACTAGTTCATCACAACCATATGGAATACGATCGTCTAATGGTGCTAAATCTGCATCATGTAGTACAACACAATTAAATTGGAAGTATTTTCTCGCTTCTATAAAACCAATATTTATTAATTTACCCCGATTAAACAAACCATGCTCAATGGGTTCAATGATAAATATACGATAGCATAATTGTTGTCTTTGTAGCAGTGGTATAACAGTCGATAAGGTGACATAAAGTTGAGGCCATCTATTTTTACACATAAAAATAATCGCTACACCAGGTTTTGAAATATTACTACATCTATTATTATTATTATTATTAAGCATATTGTTTGAATTATCTGAAGTCATTTTAAACATCCATGATCCACCGATTACATGTTGAAATATTGTAGTATGTTTTAATAAGTCACCACTATTAGTAGTGTTTGTAAATTTCATTGGAATTAAAGTATGATTAGTCGCCTGGAGATATTTCATCTGACTGTCAGTTATTCCAGTAACCATTTCACAAATTAGACGACAAGTAAGGAAATTTTCATGTCTGTTTGACACTGTGAGATCCATATTACTATTGATATTATTAATAATATCAGTAGTAGTACTAGTAGTATGATGTATTATTGTAAAATAAACCGACGGTTTTATAATAGGATAATAAATAAATATTAGAAATATTGATATTGTAGTAATTCCAAAAAACGAATAAATAACACGCCTATTTGTATTGCAAAAGAAATTCATTCTTTGATTAGGTTGAAAATGGCGGGATTAAAAGTCATTCAAAATATTTGTCAAGTATATTTTGACGAACATTAAAACATAGATAAATATGTATTAAATGATATTTATATTAATTATAGTCATAATTTGTACATATGAAAAGCTGTGTATTCCGTATTACATTTCATATTAATAATGTGATTCATGTGTGAAGAGGTATTGATTATTAGCCACAATATTATTATCATTATCGATTTTTCACTATTTAATTCACAAAAATATTGGTCAGGCTGATAGTTTTGTTAGTATATTAGATGATTGAAGGCAATCGGCCTCAGAAAGCCTTCGACCTAGGTTTCTTGCTAGTTAGCACTCACCAGTCAGTAAGGTGCGTATCTGCGTCACTGAATGAACCCATTTCCCTTATGGGACTCGAACACGCGTCACCCAGTGCTGCAGTCTGACACGATACTACTGAGCTATTCAGGCTCACGAATGACCTCCTGTAGGACTGTAGTGGATGCCTTCATTGGACACTAGTAACTAAGGGTGATGTGTCTGGTCCTATATTTGGTGCAGACTGAATTCTTCCAGTCAGGTTTGCAATGTGGCCACCATGACACTAGGCGGCTCGCCATCACGGTGCACTGTGAATTGTTGGTATTAGATGGTTGGTCAAATTAAACTTGACTGGTAGGATTCAGTCTGCACCGAAGATGGGACTAGACATACGCACATTACACTAGTTACTGACTAATGTCCAATCAGAAATAGGCTGATAATCTGCATAATTAATTAATTCATGTCAAGTATTATTGCACATTGTGGCTCGTAAGTGGAACACAGGGCTTCAACAGAACATCTCCATCTCACTTTGTTTTCTGAAGTCTTTTCTTCACCTGAATCCACGATTACCCATATGCTGTATTCTCCTCCTAAAGAGATCTCCTCCATGTCGCCTCGAAGTGATGCCCAACTCGTCGTTTAACATTCGGATTCCACTCAAGGGTAGTATGGTGTGAGATGTTGATTGACAGTCTACTCATCGTTTATCCTATCCATTTCCATCAACTTCTGCATATTTTTGGGAGAAAGGTTCTTGGTTGTTTAGTCACTAGAGGGGCTTGTTACTTATGGCTTGTGATCTTCATCATGGAGCGAGAATAGGCTGTTGTTGATAAAAGTCTACAGCTGGCTGTTAAAAATGCTTTTGTGACGCTCTTGTTCATTATGTTGCGTTCAAGGGATTTCCACAATGATTCCATAACAGAAAGTGGGTTGTTCTAGGGTGACATGGAGGAGATCGTGTTGGCAAGAGGAGATGAGAGATTATGGCCAATCGTGGACTCAGCTGAAGAGTACGGCAGAAAATAGAACAAAGTGGAGATGTGTTGTTGAAGCCGTATGTCCCAATCGGAACCCAAGGGAATAATAATAATTAAGGTGTGTCTTGCTTTCCAAATCCTGCCTTGGACACCTTCATGCATTCCACCTGTAGTTGAAATGATGTTGCCTCGTTTACATTTCTCCCGTTGATGGTGACTGATGCTTGTTGTTATCATTAGTGCTGCTGGTGGTTGTAGTGGTGCTGAGGCGTTGTCATCAGCTTTGTGTTCTCTATGCTTACTTCAAATCCTGTCTTCGCTGCCAGCCTCATCTACCAACTGGCTGGTTTTCACCTAGAGATCTTCGAGTTTGTGTAACATTAGACTTAAATCGTCCACAAGGTCCAAATCTTCCAATGTCTTCTCGTCTGTGTCGATTTATGTCTCTGGTTATATAAAGCTGTTCAAAATTATCAATGGCATAATGAATCTGAGAGGTGATCATCATGAATACTTTGAAGTTATAATAATTGTATGTGTAATTTCACGTTGGTAGTTGTCAAGGAACTTAACCCTAAGTTGCTATTATTTGCGAAGACGCTCCGAATCGATGATTACGGTGAACGATAGTCGAATTTAACTCCAAAACACAAGGACTTGTAATAAGAAAATACATTGCTGGGCAGTTAAATTCTATATCGTACAAAGGTCTATAAACAAGTGTTTTATAAGGAATATACTGTACTTTTATTCTTATTCTTTCGTCTTCTTCAAAACTTGTACACGATTGAGTCATTCGCACCTTCGAGTTGCCCGCTGATGGCTTCCAAGGTCAACGAACCAACGTTCACTGTTCACATTCCCTTACAGTAGTCTTGATTATTCTCATCTCAGTCATGTCTTCTTTCATTGTATATGTCATTGAATTGACACGCGTGTAGGTCACAAAATGAACAAATCTAAATAAACATGATTAGCCGCAAATTATAGTTAGGGAAACATATCCTGTGAAGCAAATACTTCAAGACGAAACAATTACTCGTAATTTATCTACAGCTCCAGTTTCTGCGTCTGCATAGGAAGAGTTTCCACAGTATGAATGGAGGCTAAAGACGTTCGTCTTCTGAAGGTTAATTTACACCTTGAATATCTTGAAGTAGGAGTATGTTGAGACAGTTTGACCAGTGTCTACAAGGTGTATAGTTATTGAAATTTTCATGGAGCCACTGATACCTTTCTGCAACTATGTGGGATAGTATTCTTCAATCCTTTTACAGAGGATCCACGTCGAACTACCAGTATACCAGTATCCCTACTGAGATTCCAACCAGTGTCACTTATCACACTAGTTAACACTTAGTAGCCCACTAAAAAGTATCCAACAGAAGGTCAACCGCGAACCCGAGAAGCTCAGTGGTAACGTCGCTGACTGCAACACTGGGTGACATTGTAACAACAAAAGACAAGGGCCAGGCAACAGATCGTTTATTAAGGAAATCAAAGCATATTTATGTATTTTCATGTACATTATTATAGATTAGTTAAGCAAACAAACACAGTCTTCTGATTGGTTGTTTCTCACTGAAAGTTAATCTTTCATCTCTTTGTGACTGTTTCTTGAATGTCAGATCAACTGTATCCGCCTACGCAAAGTCTGCTGTGGTCGGTTTTTGAATCAGTCTTGTTCATATTTTTCCACGACCAATCTTGAGAAGGGAAACATTGACGTCAATTACTGTCTACTAGTTTGGCTAGTAAACAACTCTCACCACAACATGAGTTCCTTCGAAAGAATATAGATAGACACGTATTGTTGACTGACGACTGCCAGCTAGCAGGAAACGAAGGCCTAGACAGGGCTCCCTGCAGATTGCCTCCAACTATCCAATAACTACAAATCAGAGAAGACTGTGATTACCAGCCACCTAGAATGGTGGTCACACTGCAAGCTTGACTGGCAAAATTCAATCTGCATCAAACAAAGGACTACAAGCATGATACAAGTTGCTTATCACCTAGTGCCCGGTCACAGTATTTTGTGAAGGGAAATTGAATACGCCACAGAAGAAGAAACTAACTCCTCTTCACTTGCTAAACAGAGGCAAGAAAACTGGTAGATCCATATCATCAAAATAACAAGTAAAATAAATTTAATAAACCTATTATAGGACCCAACATTTTCACCTAAATATTTTATTAAACGCTTGCACTGAAAGTACAAATGATTAAGGCGTTTAAGAAAGTGACTGATGAAATGGTGTCCAAGAGTATTTCAAGCATTACTGTTCACTTTCTATAAGCATAACACACTTCCTCACATATTTCATTTTTCTATGTGTTACCCTTTCCTGACTTAGTAATTTTCAGGCCTATGCTGAACGTGTTTCAACGGAACTAAGACAAGTGAGTTGAAAGGTGATGAGCTGACAGTGAAATTAGTTTTATCAGGCTAAACAAGGTTGCATATCAAGATAAAATCGAAGCCTTTGCCAGATAAAACCATTGAGAAAGATTGCATCCATAATCAGCATTCTTATCACTTATGCAGTTCGGTGGAACAACTCTAGGAACGTCATATTTTAACGCACACAGTTTTCAGTAGTCATGTTTGTCTTACTCCTGAAAGTTTTGCCATCCCGCTCAGTAGAGTACTTCTTTTATTTATGCAACCCTTTCCATGAATTTACTCACCAGCCTCAGTCTTTCTTGTGTAAAAACAACAGATTCAGCGAAAAATATACTCATTTAGGGTTAAGGTTAGGATTAGGGTTAAAGTTAGGATTAAAGTTATGTTTAGGGTTAGGAGTATGTTAAAGAATAGTGTCAGAAATGTCAACACATTTGAAAGTACTATAACCTAAAGTCACCTAGATGAATGCATCTATCTCACATGGTATGATTTCTCTAAAGATCATGTTTGCAGTAACTATGAGACATACTTACAACACATAAGTAACGACTACACACTGTAATATCATGTTTGCAATGTGTTTTATTGGATTTTTCAACGGTTATGTGACTTTTTACTTCTGAATTCTGATTGGTCGTTCAAGGTCACTGCAGTTTTCGCTAAAGTTGTTTAACTTTGCTTCGGTTTGTTTTCATTTAATGGGCAATACAAAAAATATTATATTAATAAAGATGGAATAGGCAAAATTTTAAGGAAACATCATAAATATAGTGAATTCACATGACCCGCTTTACGGATTTCATAAAGCTGTTGCAGACACATTAAAATTAAATTCACAATAGTTAATACTAATACAGTTTAATATTTAAATTATGAAGATTGTTCAAAATTAATTGATACTAACGGATACTTTAGGAAGGATAATTCATTTAATTTGAGGAGAGACACGCCCTCAAAATCGATGAACAAAACTGATTTCATATCAGACAAATCTGATTATTTTAAAATTCTAACTTACTTGAATTTCATTCAACAGTTCCTGAAAATAC